AAGGCATGGCCTTTATCGAGGCCAAGAACTACATCCACCGTGATCTGAGGGCCGCCAACATCCTCGTCTCGGAGGCGCTGTGCTGCAAAATCGCCGATTTCGGGCTGGCCCGGCTCATCGAGGACAACGAGTACACGGCTCGAGAGGGTGGGACCCCTCCTCCCCCCCTGCCCCGGGCGTGCACAGAGCTTGGGGCACGGCAGGGGACCCACCCACCCGGTCCTCTGGGGGTTCCCCACCGTGCCCCGGAGGGCAGGGGGGGTGCCCCAGTGACAGGAGCTGCAGGGGAGGGGGCAGGAGGGGGTGCAGGGACACTTTTTCCTCCTCCATTCTCTCTCGTTGGGGGGGCACGGGAGGGGCTGCAGGACCTGGGGTTGCACCGACCTGGTTTTTGGTGGCCTTACTGCAGGGAACAGGGTGCAGCACCTCGAGCCAGTGGGGCGAAGGGGGGTTGGATGCCCCAACAGGTATCGGCAGGGACTGATGCCTACGGGGTTTACGGCGATTAACCGAGGGGTGATTCCCAGCTCTTTCCAGGACGCTTCATTCCCCTCCCTCCCGCTGTTTTTTTCTAGGGGCTAAATTCCCCATTAAGTGGACGGCGCCGGAGGCCATTAATTACGGGACGTTCACCATCAAGTCGGACGTGTGGTCCTTCGGGATCCTGCTCACCGAGATCGTCACCTACGGCCGGATCCCGTATCCAGGTCAGGATTTCCCGGCAGCTGGAAGGATCTCCCGTGGCAGCGGGGCTGGCACACGCGAGCGCACGCCCACGAGTGTGGACATGCACTCCCGCACGCACACACGCTCCCAGCCTGGCTCCCTGCCCTCCTCCGCAGCCAGGGATCCAACCCCTTCCCGAGGCACATCCCCAAAAGACACCTGGAGGGGCGTTCAGAGGCGGTGGAAGGGGGTGGAAGCTTCCCCAGGGGGTTTGGGGTGGGACCTGTGACATGGGGGTGACCCCAATTCGATGTCCTGTGTGTGTCCAGGAGGGGATGACCAGCCCCAGAGTAGTACCTGTGACATGGATGTGACCTCAATTTGATGTCCTGTGCATGTCCTGGCAGGGATGACCATCCCCAGAGTGGTACCTGTGACATGGGGGTGACCCCAATTCAGTGTCCTGTGTGTGTCCAGGAGGGGATGACCAACCTGTGACATGGGGGTGACTCAAACTGAGTCCTGTGCATTGTCCTGGCAGGGACGACCTGCCCTGGGGTGGTCCCTACAATGGGGGGGGGACCCAAATTGAGACCCACACGCAATGTCCAGGCGGGGATGAGCAGCCCCAGAGTGATACCTGTGACATGGGGGTGACCCCAATTCAGTGTTCTGTGTGTGTCCAGGAGGGGATGACCATCCCCAGAGTGGTACCTGTGACATGGATGTGACCTCAATTTGATGTCCTGTGCATTGTCCTGGCAGGGATGACCAGCCCTGGGGGGTGGTCCCTACAATGTTTGGGGGGGACCCAAATTGAGACCCACATGCAATGTCCAGGCAGGGATGACCATCCCCAGGGCGGTACCTGTGAGAGGGGGGTGACCCAAACTGAGTCCCACGCATTGCCCCGGCAGGGATGACCAACCCCGAGGTGATCCAGAACCTGGAGCGGGGGTACCGGATGCCGCAGCCGGACAACTGCCCCGCGGAGCTGTACGAGCTGATGAGGCAGTGCTGGAAGGAGAGCCCCGAGGAGCGCCCCACCTTCGAGTACATGAAGAGTGTGCTCGAGGACTTCTTCACCGCCACCGAGGGCCAGTACCAGCAGGAGCCCTGAAGGGCCACAGGACCCGCTCCCCCGTGTTGGGGTGCTGGGAGTGGTCCTCTGTGTCAAACCCCCCCAGACTCCATGAGCATCACGCTGTTGGGGGACTCTCCCCTGGACCTCGGCAGTAAAGATTTGGAGCGCTCCAGACTTTGGG